AGGCCCGATAGAGTGACGGACGAGGCAGGTAAGCGGGCAAACGGCCAGATAGCCTCGCAGCGGGATTCTACGTGCTTCACGTATCCGCTCGTTTCCTCTTCGATCTCTTCAGGCTCGTCTCGAATCGCTTCCACCGTTGCCGCGCAAGGTTCTATTACGTCGGATATGCAGATCGTACGAATTCCGGATCAAGCCGACTGTCGTTTCACCCAGTTGACTCGAATAACGTGTGACGGAGTAAAAATATTACGAACACTGAAACGAACTGTTTAAACGTCCGACACTTTATATAAATATTTTATTATGCGTAATAATAATTTTTTTCATATATAAATAATATTTTTAAAGAATAGAAATTATAAAAGATAAGCGATTAATATCCGCTGCGTTTCACGCTTTTAAACCAATCAATAAAAATTTTAAGTATCTCTAAACTCTGTTTAAATTTGCTAGAAGTCGCTTATTACTTTCGATTATGTATTTGCTGAAATTGCGTACAAAATAAAGCTTTAAATATTTAATCCGTAAAATGTGCGTAGACATACAGATGAGACTCACAAATATATACTTTGCGTTGACCGCCAACATGAAACCGACTGTGGTCACACAGGAAATTAATTAATTGGCCATTGCGAATAGACATTGGAAATAGACGTGCATCGACTTCTCCGAGAATACTGCTCGGCTTAATTAATTTCCTACGCCTACGCAAGTTGCCCGGCAGTTCCTTCCACGTCCCTCGAAAGGATCGTGGTATCATACCAGCAATCTCCAATATCGAGAGGTTTTATCCTCTCGAGGTTGCTGAGGCATTTGATTCGCTCGGACATGCCTGGCTATGGCTCTTTCGCAATTTTTTCCGCAAATTTCTAATTTAAAAAGTTAAATTTGATTCGAATCTCGATTGTATATGGTCATAAAAAATCTCAGCTTGCGATGCTTTATTCGGCATGTTTACGCGCTCGGACACGCATTCGAATAATGGTTTCATGCGTATACTCCGCGTCGTACAATTTAAGAAACAGGATAATTCATGTTACGTACTGCACGACCGCGGAATACGAGATGACGCATTCGGCGGCAAAGCAGCACGTATGTGCATCCCACGCTCTCCTCTCTCTCTTCCGTGTTTTATTTATTATATTTCCTTTACATCGAGTGGAATAATTGAATATGATAACAATAATCAAATTAATATTCAATGACTATTACAATACAACAATTATTTTTATCTCACGTTAAAAAATTATTGTGCTATTTATTATATACAGTTTTAATTTTTCTAACTTGATCTGACGTTAATTTCATTCTTTATTCGCATATTTCTCGACATCCTGCGAAATATGTGATTATCTATTCTATCTATATCTGCTTTCCATTTGGTTGGATCGTCGATCGTACAATACATCTCGTGGATCCTGGCTTCTCCGTCTAACAGGCTCTTTCAATTTCCTTCTCGATATTTAACGGTGAAAGGAGAAATTCGTCAGGTATCGCCCCGCTATTGTAAAACTGAGAGCCGAATAGCGAAACGCCCACGCGAATTCCTAGATTCACAATTGCGACGTCGACGGTTCTTGGCGCACCGAGTATGTTCTTTGTTTTAGGATTGCGATAATTCCAAGCAAGTACAGCGGAAATTTATTTAGAATGGACAGAGCTTATTTTGTATAATCTGTGGAAAATCGTAGGCTGGGAAAACTGTATTTGATTTTTGAATATTATTTATAAGTTTTTATCAAAAAAGAGGGATTGTCTCTTTATGAAGCAAATACTTAAAATACATCTAAAATATAAATAAATAATCAACTTATATTTTTAATCGCGATTGTTATAATTTTTTCTCGGTGTATTACATAACGTGCAATAACTTGCGACACGAATCAATAAGCTTTATACGTATGATCATTGTATAGGTTTTATAATTGATTCGACACACGTTGAAAACTTATCGAGATTGCGATAATTCCAAGCAAGTACAGCGGAAATTTATTTAGAATGGACAGAGCTTATTTTGTATAATCTGTGGAAAATCGTAGGCTGGGAAAACTGTATTTGATTTTTGAATATTATTTATAAGTTTTTATCAAAAAAGAGGGATTGTCTCTTTATGAAGCAAATACTTAAAATACATCTAAAATATAAATAAATAATCAACTTATATTTTTAATCGCGATTGTTATAATTTTTTCTCGGTGTATTACATAACGTGCAATAACTTGCGACACGAATCAATAAGCTTTATACGTATGATCATTGTATAGGTTTTATAATTGATTCGACACACGTTGAAAACTTATCGAGTCCGAGAATCCAAAAAATCTAACACGATATTAGACACTTCCTCCGACCTTAACCTTAAACCATTTATGTCTCAATTGTGACGAAATCGTCGCGGAGAAATAAGAGCGGCGCGACAAAGGAAGCGTTACGATGTTGAAGCACAAGGAACGTTCTTTTCACAGAGTGGCGAGCGCGACGACCGGCCGAGACCGACCGCATTAGAATATATATACGAGGTGTAAAAAAAAAGGCGAGCACGAAAGTCGCGGGCGTGAGAAAGCCGGCCCTCGAGCGAGCCACCAATTAACACCAATTAGCGCTCATCTGCTCTAGGTACTGCCAGCGAGCTTGGAGCTCGCTGTCTTTACGTTTAGCGCGAGACGTCTGACTCGCCGCGGATTGGCCACAACATGCTCTTTGTACTGCATAGACTACATCATCGAGTATATGACTTCTAAATGTCGAAGCGAGACAGACATATCATAGATGCCGAATACATCGCTCTTGATCATCGACTCGTCTCCGATGCAGATTTAGCGGATCAGTTTTTGCAAATTCTTGAATAAGAGAAACCGACTCGCGCGAATCGATCGACGCGATGCATAAACATCTCGGATCACCGCGAGAGAAATTGATTCACTAAGCTCACGAGTTAGTAGTTGAGTCACGAGTGTACAGTTAAGCGAGAAACACGACGCCAAAAGCGGGAAAGGCCTCAAGTCTGCAAGAAGTAACTCACATGTCAAATCGACACTTGCGCAAGAAACGGATATCTTTCGCAAGTGGTAACGGATTACTTTGTCAGACTCTACGATCTTATCCAAAATCTCTTTAATTGGAAATACAATCTTTTTGCGACATTTATCTTTTTTTAATTAAAGAATTATCTATATTTATATAAAAAAAAAGAGATTATACTGTAATTTATATGCATAAATATTATAACAATTTTTAATAATTTTTATAATATTTAAGTTATAATATTTAAATTTTAAATAATTTTTTTAATGTAATATAAATTAATTTTTCTTTTGATAAAAATTTCGAGATACACGTACAAGTCGCACAATTTCTACGACACACCATATTATTCCGCAGATACCTCTCTCTCTCTCTCTCTCTTTCTTCCTCTCAGAATACGCGTTCATTGTCTAATTCCGAGGATCGTCAAGTTCATTATACCGCAGGCGCGCTCGCTCGCGAGACGCCGATGCCGCGCGCTAATCTTTTTTTCGCCGGGACCGGTTCCATCAGAGGAACACTTCCAGCTTTCTACCATCGCATCGGCGGCTCGACTCCCGTGTAACCCCGTCGGGTGCCAGCCGTGCTGAGGCAACGCGAAGAAGCGGACAGGCCGCGTCTTCCGCGCGCGGCAGCGCGATTCGAATTTATTTATTGCATTAGCCGGCCGTCGCTCACTCACGGCCCTTGATTGGTGGTACCAATCGGGTTCTCCTTTGCGAACGACGCAACGCGATGGTGGAGATAAGCCGACCGTATATAAAGGACGAAATCGTCGTGTCAATACTCGTGGTAACCGTTGTAATTATCCCGATTAGTGGTGATTCTCTGCGGTCCAGCTGAATGTTACGAATGTATCGATAATCATTACAACCATGACTTGCGATCGTATTCAAATCCTACTTATACATGTGATGTTGCTTTATATGACTCGTGGAACTCGCATAAATATTCATAAGAATTGCATCTGTATATATATAAATTATATTATCGTATATAATTTAAAAAACAAATAATTTATATTTAAAAAGAACGCACTCTGCACACTGGCGATGAAATAAAAGATGATGTGTTTCATCATCATCATATATATGTTGTTGCATTATCAGATTTATTACGTTGGAATCAACGCGCACGCACTATACTATCTCGTTTACATCGGAAGTTGTTTTCTACCGCATAGTTTTGCGCGACGGATGCGCTTTCGTGTAACTCTCGGTTACATAAGCCAAAGTCCTGAAATTGGTAACCCTACACTATCGTATAATTTAAACCGCCCCCTAAAGGTCAGCAGACGCTGTATAAATTTGCAAAAGCAACAGGCTCTCCGAAGGTCCCACTTAGAACCCGGCGAGGAATTATTCAAGCTGGGCAAGGGTTAATTGCTGCCTTCATCAAACCACCTCCCTTCCTCTTTCAAATGAACCCTTGTCGCCCGTGACATCACCGTTCTGTATTTAATCCGACTTTGTTGCGTCACGGCAACGCTGAACATGATTCCATTCTCTGTTCGAGTGAATTATTCACTTTAAAACGAGTAACACATTCACTTTACTTCAGAGTTAAACAGTTCACTTTTGTGAAAAGTGAATTTTCACTAATTACGAGTGGCAGTATTTCCACTATCGCTTGAAGTGAATATTCACTCGTTTGGAGTTAAATTTCACTCTAAGAAATTTAGAGAGTACAAAGATTTATTCAAATAATTATTCTATTAAGTAAGAAAAAAAATATTTCCACAATTTAAATTAATAAAGTTATATAAATAGAACTAAATATATAAAAAATTAATTTTACACTTATAATTCCTTTTACAGACCAATTTTTTTATTTATTGTGGATTTATTAATACGTAGACTTATGTTTAAAAGTTATATTTTTGATTATAGTATCGAGACAATTTTTAATAACATTTTTAATTCGTTATCGTTGCCGTTGTAACTTTTGAAAAATGGTTTGAAAATATTCTGTTACAGAGGCAATTCACGTTGATTCTGCAAGCGAGGGACGAGAAGAGCGCCGGCGTAATTGAGGAGGCGAGTTACAGCGGCATCGTCCTGCCAGGATCCACGTGGCACACTCTCAATCATCAAGGAAAGAACGCTCACTTGGCGTATCGGGTGCGAGTCCAATGCGACGATCATTATTACAATGCGACCTGCACCAAGTTCTGCCGACCTAGAAACGACATTTTCGGCCATTACACCTGCGACGAGAACGGGGACAAAGTGTGTATACAGGGATGGAAAGGCGTCGATTGCGAGACAGGTGAGTCCGAGTTTAACCGACAATTATGTACGTTATTTCGATCATTGTTGCAGCCACATCGTTCTATCAAAGTATACTCAACATTTTTAGATCCTATATTTAGGTTGATTGCTAAGATCAACAATGTTTCCTCTTCTTTACTATAATTTTTATCTTAATATCTTCAAGATAAATTCGTAAATGATTTTTTATCATCTTCGCGACGAACGGTAATTCCCCCTTTTTAAATAATGTAGGAATTCGTTGCAAGAAAGAAAGGCAAAGAAATCCTATAACATATTTCAGTATTAGCACTTTAGATGTGCATCGACTTTAGAATGAATTATTGCTGATTAATCCGGTGTTTATCGCATTACCACACGTGCAACTAGGTATTACCGTGCACGGTTATTAATTACACTAGACACCGTATAATGTGCACGCAAAAAAATATCTGCATAAATACACCTTCTTCGATTCTCTTCTGTATCTTTTCACGGAAAATGATTTGCAGATAAATTACGTTCATCAAGATATTATTACGTAAACTTTTTATTTAATATCTAATTTTAAATTCACTGCATCATAACTTTACAAATGATAGAGCGTTTGTTGACGACGAGAAGAGGATGTACGTTTTGAAAAATGAAAAAAAAAAAATGTTATCTAACAAACTCCCATGCTGCAATTTCCGTATTTAGGAAAACTTGTTCGGGATAGATACGAAACTCATCGTACAAAATACGCATTACATTCGCGAGTGACAAACCGCATTCTCTTGTCATTGTTATCTCGTACTATTCTTTACGAAAAAGAACTCGGAAGATATCGATGTAAGTCGATTTTTTGCCTTGTCCCGTACGTCGTCGGAGAAATAAATTTATCATTCATTGAAGCTTGAAATCTCATGACAGAGTCTAACCGTGTACAATTTCCTCCATGGGTGTCGTTTATTTCGATTTCTCATGGAGACATGTACCTCTTAACGAGGCTTACAATTTGATTATTGGTCATTAATAAATCATTATTGTTTGCTGTCAAATAATTTCTGAAGGACGAAAAGATTCGATCTTCGCCAAAGAGATCTTTCTTATCTGCGTTTGGGAAATCTGTAAATGAGAATCAATCCGGATAAGCAAAGTTAATTTGCTTAAACGAATAAATTGAATATTTTGTCATCTTGATTTCATATTTTAGTGTTAGTTTTTATTTAAAGCAGAGGAGATCTACATACAGATGGGGCGAATGATATTTTGCGGAAGAATAATCGAAACTGTTCTTCACGTTCACGTGATTTCCATCTCGTATCTTTATCGTCGAATTGATGTCCAGTCCCCGAAAGATCGAACGATTCCGTCACGTCCGCGGTTTAAGGCGCGAGAACGCCGCGGCGGATCGAGAGGAGATGAACGGCTCTGTGGACCGTACGCGGTCCCGCATGGATCGTAAAGCACGCGAATTATCTCGGTGCGTGCCTCAATGGGCGGACGTTATACGCATGTCGTACGATCGTCACAAAGGTAGCGACATATCACGCCAGGTCTCGTCGCACAATGCTGCGCCGACCAATATAACAGCTCTTTCTTCGCCGCTTAATCGTTACTTCCGCCTCGCCGTGACCGCTCCGTGGTTACTGTCATCCCTTCCTCTTTACGATAGGACACAGACGCACGCATAAGGTCGATCTCAAACAGACCGATGACTTGCCGAGGAGGCCCCGATCGCGTTCGTACGACAATTTTTACAGACGCGTAGAATGCCTTTTTTCTTTATTAATTCTTGAATTCAGAACTATTCCAAGTTTGGACAATATCGAGACAACGAGATCTATCCAACTTGATTCGTATATAGTTTAACATCTTTCTAGATAAAAGTATGAAAATCTTCTAAATTTTGAATTTATATTTTAATATCGGAATATTATGTATCAAGAAGGAGTATAAATTAATATTTCTCTCAAGGAGCCGTATTATTACTTTATTATTAAATAAATTTTGAAATTATAGAACTGCGGAAAAAAAAGTTGAAGTCTCGTTGCTCTCAAATAATAATTTGCTTAAACAATCGTTTCGCAAGTCGTCACGCTTGTGATATTATGCCAAAGGAATTCAAATAACATACACGCGATTACTTTGCCGACGCTGCTCGTTTTCCTTGGCACTGTGAACTTTAAGATTTCACTGTTTGATAACTAACATAGCGATCGCCTCGAGCCGCTGATTGATAATTAGTTTTTTTTTTTTTTTTTTTTTTTTTTTATAATTTTATATGAGGCACATAATACATTATATACATATTGATATTGTGTCATTAATTCATTACTGCGAAAAATCTTTTTTTGTTATTTCAAATTATAATGTATCACGACACGAAGTACGGCATCGATTTTAGGTACCGATATTATCATTGATTAAACAATTATTTAAATATCGATAGCATTTATCTCAAAGTTGAAACATGTTTTTTGTTATATTATAGATAAGCAGCGACTGGTTACATTGTGATCAGCTTTCGTTTCCACAGCTTCAACTTCTGATCTCGCTTGAAGATATTGAATCTTCTTGACATAGGGCGCGAAATGTAAAAAATTTCTCTCGTTTAACGATGCGGGAAGATCGACTTGTCGAGTTTTGAGCACGTTCTACTTAGACGGACGGAAAAATCCGCAAATCCCAATTAGAGACTATCGGCGGAGATCGCGTGTTCGTGCAAGGCGATGAATCGCGCGCGCGAGTCTCGGTTAGAGAAGAGAAAGAGAGAGAACTGGCTCCGACATTTTTGTCGCGCTGTGAAAGGTCAATAGGAGAATTTCACTCGTGCATCCTCTTCACACGATGCACCAACGTGGTCGCGCGCGCGAGAGAGGTAAAATCTCTACGGGCGCTAAGCGCGTACGTGCATAGTGCTTCTTTAGCATCTGGCAAAAAGGATCTTGAAAGTTCAACGAACGCTCGGCATATGAAATATATAAGCTTCTGTATGCACAGAATTTTAGAAAAATATAGTACATCGGTTATGTGTAACGACGATTGATACGACAGAAAATATTCAGATCGAGCTGGATCAATAATGTCCTAGAATTATTCTGCTTCTTAGAAGATCAAAGAAAAATCGAAAAGTTGCGACAGATGATGATTTTTTATCAAGTTCTGTTAGAAAAATAGAAAAAATAAATTTTACTGTATACTGATACTTCAGATTTTAGCATTTTTACCATCGTTATTTAAACAACCACCAATGACATAAATACTTACGCACCAATGGCAATTACGATCTATGACCTTTCCTTTCTCTCTTAGAGTTCCAACTATTTATAAGAAGAAATTGACTCTAGCGACTGTTCTGCATAAAATTAATAACGTGCTTGTCTACATTATTCCTCGTCGCAAGATGAGTTTTACGCGCAATAAAAAATATAATTACATTCCGAGAAAGAGAGAGAGTCGGCGTCACGATCGGGCTCAAAACGCGAATTGTCGGCAGACAAATGAAGATTTTTCACACGACGCACGCAGTTAGGCAGAGACGGAAGAGGGACGTAAATTTTCCGGGAAAACACTTCCGCGTGTAACTCGCGCGCGAATGAGGCAACTCCGTCATAATCACGCGCACGGAGTGAAGACTCTGGGAATCGCGCGCGAAAAATCGCAAACCACCCATCCGGCAATCCGCCTCTCTTCGCACAGCTGTTCCGCACGATAAAAAATCGCGCGACGCGGAAAAAAAGATGGACGCATCGCGAACTGCGCAAGTTAATTTACCTAACTGCCGGCGTATTAATCAACGGCCGTAGGCCGTAGGCATATGAGTAGCAGCGTGATCGTTTGAGACTCGAGGGAAATTTATAGTTTCTAAAATGCGAAAGAGAGAGAGTCTCTGGAGATTGCAAAAATACTCGCTTGATTGGCTCGACGTAGAACGACGAAGGACGATGACGTATCCGCGTATCCAAGCGTCGCATATCGCGGGGACCGCGAATGCATCGTGGCAAAGAAAAGGCTGTCACGAGCGAATGCGACGTCATTTAGGAGACCCCGAAGTAGTCGCCGATGCAATCGTATAAATATCCGTAAATGTCCGTTGTCGCGGCGCGGAAACGAGGTAGAGAAAGAAAGAAAGAGAGAGAGAGAGAGAGAGAGCGGGACTATTAATCATTAAGGATGCCGCGGGCGGTATATACGCATATATGTACGTGTAAGACGCGAATGGACCGCCATGTGATTATACACGTATACGCGTATGTACAATAATCGCGTATACGTAACGGTAAAGGTGTTGGTACACGTACGAGAGACCGACTGAAACCCCGAAAGGAGGATCTACGTACACGCGAGCGCGCGGCATGAGTTTTCGTTTCACGGTTGGAGGGATAATCCTTCTCTCTGTCACTTCTCATCTGTCTTTCTGTCCCACCGGCTAATTGAGTTGCTCGGTGCCGGCGAGATCTCCGTCACGTTCGTCCTTTCCTGCCGTTCTTTCTTTTTTTTTTTTTTTTATCCCGAGGAGGGGTATGGAAGGGAAACCGACGTCGTCATCGTCGTCGTGGTCTTCGTATCGTGCTCGTTTACAAAGGTTACGGTGTACCTTCGGTCGCGCCGAAATTAGATTTTGTCATCCAACCACCTGTACGAGAGGTACCTGTTGCTTCGGCTCTTTCAGTGCGCGTCCCGTAATCCCTTACAAACCCGCAGAAAGTATCACGCGTGCATTCTTCGTCCCAACGCGCACGCCCGTTTCGTTCATTATACGTCTCCGCTAATTACATTTGCCCGACTCAATGACTATTACGTGTCGCATGCTGAGCAAGAATAAGACGAATAAGAAACGCTTAATCCGTCCACGTCATCATAGATATGCTTTGAAACATCCCGAAAGGATTCTTTTTGAATCGCTCTCTCAATAACGATGTGAAAGCATAATTGAACCAAACGTCAAATCCCTCTACAATATACAACAATATAAAGTAACATTAATTTTTGCAATACAGTTATACCATAAATCTCTTATCTATAACAGATAAAAGATAAATTAATATAATAAAAAATTGCGCTAGGTTATATATTATTATACAATGTAATTGACATTAGAGCAAATTATGATGAGAAATTATAGCTACTTATCAAAACCGCAAATACTCCGTATTGAACGCGCGACATGTGTAATTTATATGATAATATTTCTAGCCGTCTGCAAAGAGGGCTGCCACCCCGTACACGGTCACTGCAACGTCAGCGGCGAGTGCCAATGTCGGCACGGCTGGCGCGGCGAGTTGTGCGACCAGTGCATGCCGTATCCCGGCTGCAAGCACGGCTACTGCAACGGCTCGAGCTGGCAATGCATCTGCGACACCAACTGGGGCGGCATACTGTGCGACCAGGACCTCAACTACTGCGGCACCCACGAGCCGTGCCAGAACGGCGGCACGTGCGAGAACACCGCGCCCGATCAGTATCGTTGCACGTGTCCGGACGGCTTCTCCGGGCCCACTTGCGAGAAGGTCGACAATCCGTGCGCGTCCAGCCCCTGCCTGAACGGCGCGACCTGCCACGAGCTCGGCGAGACCGCGCACTGCGAATGCGCCCCGGGTTTCACCGGACCTTATTGCACGACCGACATCGACGAGTGCGCCTCGCAGCCGTGCCAGAACGGCGGCACCTGCGTGGACGGGAAGAACAACTTCGTGTGTAACTGCCCACCCGCCTGGCAGGGCGTCCTCTGTCAGTTCGACGTGGACGAGTGCACGCTCAAGGAATCGCCTTGCAAGAACTCGCTCACCTGCGTCAATCTGGCAGGCGACTACAGGTGAGCTTTGTTATTAATATCCGGGAATTTATGCGAGATTTTTAACTCTCTTCTATTGGTAGACGTCAAAATTATATATCTTAATATATATTAAATTAATAGAAAAGAAGATATGTTTATTAGAGTATCGAATAATTAATTAATAATATTTGATAATTTTATAGAAAAAAAAAACACTAGAATTCTACATTGTTATTCCTTAATACTTACCTGACAATTCAAGATTGCTTATATCATTAACAGACATAAGTACTATGTTTTAACAGCATCGTTTGGGAACATGATGTTATCATAAACTAGAAGACTTCCGGTCTTTCCATTTTTTGAATTACAGTGTCTTACATATAAATGATAGGTTTCCCACGCACGATATAGTAATTGGAAATTAAGTCGTTATAGAACATTTTTCTTCGTCCTCTGTACTACGGTAGGTTAAACAATAATAATAATAAAGGCATTTTTATTGTTTGACTTACGACAGCCCCGTAATTACTCGCTTTATTACCTTCGTAAAATAACGTTGGACGGGGGGAAAAAAATCGTATCGTAATCGATCGTGTTGAACGCGATGTAAGAGTCGTTAACTCGCTGCGAATAGTAATTAATCAAGTTTCATAATAATTTAATTTCATAATAGTTTCATAATAATTTCATCGACAGGTGCCGATGCCGGAGCGGTTTCACTGGCAAGAATTGCACGAAGAATATCAATGACTGCATTGGCCAGTGCCAGCATGGTGCGCTCTGCATTGATCTGGTAGACGACTATCACTGCAGCTGCACCGCTGGCTACTCCGGCAAGGACTGCGACGTCGACATCGACGAATGCGCGTCCAAGCCGTGCCAGAATGGCGGCGAGTGCCGGGATCTGGTAAACGCTTACGAGTGCGTGTGTCCCGTGGGCTTCACCGGCTACCAGTGCGAAATCGATCGCGATCACTGCAGCCCAAATCCTTGCCGCAACTCGGCGCCATGTTTCAACACGCAGACCGACTATTATTGCCACTGCCCGGTACAATGGCAGGGCAAGAACTGTTCGGATCCGGCCTCGAATAATTCGCAGCAATTCGGCGTGACGGACGACGAGCAGTACGGCTGCGGCAGCGAGGGCACCCCATGTGGCGGTAAAGGCCGATGCAGCGGCGGTAGATGCATCTGCGATCCCGGTTACACTGGCATGCACTGCCACGAGAACATCAACGACTGTCGCGGCAACCCCTGCTTGAATGGCGGCACATGCGTTGATCTGCTTAATTCCTTCCAGTGCATCTGTCGGGAAGGTTGGAGCGGGGATCTTTGCGATCAAAGTAAGTAATAAAAGATATACGAGAGAGAAATGGGTAGAATAAAAAAATACTGATAGGATCCGATAAATTTGAATGATCTCAAAG